TCCAACCTACCAGATACTCAAAAGCACATACTGCTTTTTTCTTGCATTTCTGCTTTTGCAAAGCAGGTAACACATCCCATCAAGTGACTCAATTCACAAGCTTGTAAATATCTAAAAATTGTCCTTGCTAGTCTCCAAAAAAGTAACCGTCATTTGTCAAGATGATCTACTCAAATCATACATCCAGTAAATCCAGTTCTTTCTATTTCTGAAGGGGATTACCTCACAATTCACAAAGTATGTGTCCTCACTGTAAGCCATGGAGATTCCACCATGGTATATGGCCGAGAAGAACTGCCTTCATTTTATGCATATTCTATATAAAAAGAAGCCAGGTGGGATTTCCCTGCTGTACTTTGAACAACTGCAATCATGTAGCTGCTGCAAGCCTAAAATGCAATATTAAGGTCAAGCACTGAATCATTTTTCTAAAGGTCTTTCCACTCCACCTTTTCACCCACAGCACTGCCCCCTTCTCTTCCTCTCACGTGCTCCAAATCTCCTGCTTTCCCTGCTGTCCAGACCACATCTGTATCTTTCTTCCTTCCTCCAAAACAACCATGAACCAGTCATGTCATTCTCATTTTGGCCACACCTAGGAAGTTCATTTACCCGTTATCAGTTCTATTAATATGGACTTTACCCAAGGTCATTCACAAAGATAAGATCAAGTATTTCCCAAGCCACCAACCGGAACGAAGAAAGAGAAATCTCCCAAATCAACTTATTTTCCTTTTAAACAGATACAGGAAACGTGAAGATGTCAAAGGAATTCACAAAGGCACAGTAAGAAATTCCAATTAAAGTGAGAAGTATCAACACAGGATAAGTTTTCTCGTGGAGCAGAGCCACTTTAGGCTGCTCTCCCTCTCCAATCCAATCATTCCTGCCTCTGACCACAGCTTGCTTCTCCTTCAGCTGTACCACTGCAACTTCTGGATGACTGAAAACACTATCTTGAAAAATAAGTCTTCTCCCTGCTATTTCTTTTCTTCATCAACCCTGTTGTATCAATCCTTTCTTCTAAGGTGGCATACCCATCCCATATTGGGTCTAAAAAGGTTTTTGAGTTCAAATCACTCTAACTGAGCACTTCAAAGTTTGCTCAGTTTTTCAGGTTCTGGTCACATAGGATGTGCATTTCATGGTTAATAATCCAGATTTGATATCATTTAACAGAAGAGCTTCTAAGAACATAAATCAAAAATCTACCTAGCTTATTTTCCATAAGGTCAGGGGTCTCCATCTTCTAGTGCAAGGTGCTGCAGATAAATGACTTT